TCGGCTTCAAAATTGAGGGTGTGATATGAACTCAGAAATTAACACAAGAATTTTCCTTGGGGGGAACGGAGGCTGAATCAGACATGCAATAAATGACCTCGGAAGCCCTGTGCCTTGGTACCTCCACCTATCCAACATTATGTTTTCCTATAAAAAATTATTTTCACTATTATTCTATTCCTAGCCAGGTAGAAGAGCTGGAAGAAGTGGATTCGCTCTGGTCAGGAGGGAATAAATGACTCGTCTGTCTGTCTGCCAGGATGTCCATCAACAGCCACCACGCTCCCAGCACTTTCTGCCAGGAATACAGCAATTTATGGGGACAGAGTAGTGTCCCGACAAGGTCCCACAGCACAAGCCCTGATTTTAGGGAACCTGGCTGGGATGCTGCTGGTGATACTGCCCTCCCACAACAGCAGGCGCCGCCGGGGACGCGTGCAGCTGCTGTGAGCCACACACAACATCTGGAGAAGGGATGCAGCAGCCACAGATCCCCATCACCAGGAGACTCCGGGGAGTTTTCCCACCGGTTTCGACAGGATCAGAACCCGACAGGGGGAAAAAAGCCATACTAAATAAACCATTGCCCCGACAGCTCAAGCTGGGACAGAAAGGCTTCTCCCCAGAAGCAGCTGAGCTGCAGATTTCCTTCCGCCAACTGCTGGGGGGGGCAAGAGCTTCCTCCCGCCGAGGGATGGAGCAGCCCCAGGGGAAGGGGCTGCAGCAGGAGCCACATCCCAGGGCTCAGCTGATGCTCCCCGAGTTTCTCTCTCCGGCCAAGGGCAGCAGGAGACTTCTCAGCTCCGTGCTTTTTGACCTCATGATGGAGGTTTGGGACCTGTGGCCCCAGGCCAGCAGTAACTGCTCTTTCATCTCACCCTGCCCAAGGGGACATTTCAAACCCACCGCACGGAAACCAAGCTCCAGGAGCCCGGGGGACCACGGGGACCACAGCTCCGAGCATCAGCACCATTTCCCAGGCCTGCTATCTCCTCTGGGGACTTCAGATGTGCAGAGCTCCCACCACCCCTCTGTGCTCCTATATGAGCTAGACAACTTAGTAATTAAGAAAATGAGGTAGTGTCTGTTTTCCAAAGAAATAGAGGCTCTTGGACATCCGTTTCTCACACAGGCAGAAAGTCCAGTGCCTCAGATTTATATATAAGACAATTTAATTCCACCTTCACACACCTCACACACTCATTACACACAACAGAGGTGCACAGATGATGTGAAGAGCCCCCCCAGAAAGCTCTCCCACCGACTGGAGCAGGGAGAGTTTGTGCCCTACATCCGGGACAGAACGGCTCGTTCCCCTATTTTATAAACCTCTTTACAAAAGGAACTTAAAGAAACTTATAAGTGCTCCTTCTACCATTTAACTACCACATGGTACAAGATATAACAATGTTCAGAAAACCCCCTCGGGTCTAAACTCAATTATACAACTGTAGCAAGAAAAATATTTTAATCTGATCAAAGTGTTAACATGTTTGACCATGTCTGACCTCTAATGTTTGTAACCACCTGAAAGGCTGATGTTCTTACTAAGGATGTACCTTAATTTGATTTAAAGTCATTTGTACTATTTAGAAAAGGATATAGTTTTATGGTTTTTTTGCTTCGTTTAGAAAAACAGTTCCTCAACTTGTTAATATTCTTTGGAAGTTTCTTGCAGATTTTCAACGGGCAAATCCTACACGTTGCAGTCTGGGAAAAGCTGGGCTCAGCAGGAGTGGGGAGAGCCAGGAACCACCGTGGATGCGACTCTGGGTGAAAAATGGTTCTCCTGGTGCCTTGCAAAATTCCAAGATTTCAGATGCACACACAGCCTGTGTCTTAACACACTTAACCCAGAATATGCCCTTCCCAGGCAACGGGGGCTCACGGGATGCTCCCAAAACGGGGGACACCCAGGCTCAGCCTTGTCCCCAGTTCCAGAAGCACCTTCACCTGCACATTCTGCCCACCCCTCCAGTCCTCCTTTCTCTCTCTGACAACTCTCCTACCAGTCCAGGCTACTTGTGTGTGCTCCAACCAGCACCCCTCCAGCTGAACTGCCCCAAATTGGCATTTGCCACCTGCAGCAGAGGTGGCCCACCCAACTGATGGCTGCAGGGTGGCTCTTGCCACCTTGCTGGGGACATCAGCTGGGCTTGGCATTGCTGCTGATGTCAGTTATCACCCGGACACATTCTATGCATCACTCAGGAGCATGACCAGAGCTTATAAATAACACAAGTTGGTGAGTTGGGGTAAGAAAAAATAAAAAAAAAGAGACAATTTGGGCTGGGGAGATGTGGGCAGGATGCTGGGGTGCGCAGCGTAACAGTTAGCGGGTTCCCAACCACCTCGAGGGAAACAAAGCAGAAGTGATGCTGCTGAGAAAAATAAGAGAGAAAATAAAAAAGAAAAAAAGGAAAAGCAGCACACCGGTACGGCCGGTAACGACACACCCACCCAGGCGGGTGCTCCGGGCCGGCTCCGGCGCTGCCGGCAGCCCCTGATGGGGTTCGGAGGGAGCCCGCAGAAAAAAAAAAACACATTTGTGGTTTTACGGTGCGTCGCAGGGCGGGGGCTCAGCCCGCAGCCTCCCTGCCCGCCGCCCTGCGCCTTTCCTATTTTTCAATCAGTGAAATGTGAAGCCCTGCCAGTTTGCCACAGTAAGTACTCCTGGGTTTATTTTTTTTCTGTTTGTTTTTGTTTATTTTTGATTTTTATTTTTTTTTTTTGCAGGTTCTGAAATGAATCCGAGCTGCAAACAACCGTTTCCAGGAAGCCCCATTAACCCAAATATAATCTCCAGCACCGTGCGCACGCACCACCGTGGTACGTAAATCCCATTCACTCGCACTGCCCTCCTCCCCGGCTCTGCTTGTGCTAAAGCCTTAATTAAACACACTTTTATGGATGGTTAAGTATCTGCAATCTTCGGTCACAGATCTGACCTCCTCAATTATCGCAAGCAGCCACCAGATTATAGCCCACACTTCATATAATACACAGAGAGCAGCAATAAATCTATATGGGAGCAATACATCATTTGCTACGATAACCTTTGCACAGTCAATATAAATACAAGACGGAATTGCCCAGAAAAATGTATCAGAATAGCAAATAGCCAAAAGACCAGCCTTGATCTGAGGAAGAAATCTTCCCCTGTCGGTTCGGTAACAGATTATTATTATTATTATTTTTTAGCTGAAAAAAATAAATCAAATCCGCTTTTTTAAAATCACACCACACAACACACCGCAGGATGCGACCGGGCCAAAGGAAAGCTGGTGGGGACAGTGGGTGATTTCTGTGGCTCTCCAGGGGATGGGACGGGATGGTTCCTCCTCTGCTACTGGGTTTTGTCCCCTTCGAGTTCTGCACACTCTATTCACCCCCGTCTGCTGCTCCGACAGCAACCTCTGGGGTTTTTTAGGACATTATCAAGGGGAAAGGCGATTTACAAACCACAATCTACTTCTTCTGCTTAATTGCTAATAAATAGGCTACTGCCCTTAGTTGCCCATCTAAGGGTTTAAGATTCAAAGAAATATTCTACTACAGCACATAGTTGCTGGGCTAATGTAACTCTGAATTTAGCCAGATTCTATACCAGGGAGCAAGATAAATCCATTTAAATAAGGCAAATTTAATATAATCATTTGAAATGTATCAAGAAAAGAGCAACTTAATATTTTAGAGGGGCGAGGGGATACTCGGTACCTGGAGAAAGGGACACGAGGTGGGAAGCAACAGAAGAAATGCTTATTTGGATGACAACAAACGCACACTGGCCCTGCCTTGCAAACGCATCTTTTCTTGCTACACACTGAAGGAAGGCTCCAAAATTTGGGGACAGACCCACAATACCCGCACAGTGACTTCAGCAAGGGTACAACAGGCTGTAGCGGGGACAATCAGGTCCCCAGAGCAACCTGGGAGGGACAGACAGGCTCACGGAGCGACACGTCCCCTCCTGCCACCCAGGGTTGGGCGGGAGGACACGAAGGGATTCCAGCCAACGGGATTTTCTCCCACTTTGACTGGAGTTTCATACCCCCCAATCCATCCATTTTCCATAACGCCAGTAACAACCTGCCCCTCTCGTGACCAAAACGGGGTGAAATTAAGAAGCGCACTATATATTCTTTTAAACCCTGTCCCTTTATAGTTTAAAACCGAGGCTGAAATAAACCCAACGCTGTTCTGTTCTCGTTCACTGCAGAATAACCTCTGACAGGAGCCGGCTCCTCGGGAGCGACACGAGCACCAACCATCCACCCCCAACACCTGGACATCATTTTCTGCAGTTCTGCCAGAGCCAGTGATGGCAAACAACAGCTTTTGTAGAGTAAACCTTTCCTTTAATTATTCTAGCAGCGAAACTTACGAGAAGATCCACAATTACTACAGCTGATTTGACCCCAGAGGGGGAAAAAAAACCTTTAAAGAAGGTTAAAGAACACTCCTCCAGCCGCATCGAGCCTTTTCCTAAAAACTTCGCTGGCCATTTTAGAAGAGTAAAAGCCACTTTCTGGGCCACCAGCCACAGCGGAGCCCCAACCGAAGGCAGGCCCAAACCTGGCCCTTTCACAAGCAGATAATGTCAAACTCCAGTTAAGCTGCGGGACGCATCCCTCAACGCAAACACCCAACGCTGCTCGTCTCCAAAGCCCGTGACCCAGAAAAAGGCAGGGCCACTCTGACACCAGATTTTAGGCTCCGACGGCTGGAGGAGGAAAGGGGAACCCAAAGGATGGGGAAGCTGGAAAAGAAGCTCCTCCAGCAAATTCAGAGCTTGCTGCCGAGCATCTTTTCCCCCCTTTCCTTCTCCTCCTCCCTTCGGCTTGGGCAGAACAAGCATTTTCGAGACGGGGATGTAATTTGTCAGGAAAAGATTAAAAAAAAAAAACAAAGCACGTGTAGGTGCCTGCGCGATACCTGCAACAGAGCTGAGCGGTGAGAGAGGCCACGAAAACTCCTCCGGGAGGAGAGGAGGGACTCACCAGAGGTGACATAGATCCATTGGGCAGATACGGGTCTGAGAGCATGAGGAAGGGGTAGCCAGAGTACGCGGATCCTTTATACATCCCCGGGTCCTGATGCTTCATACCTGCGGGGATTAAAGCTCCCGTCAACCTTCGCAGATTCCTCTGCCTGTTTTGGGGGGGTTACAGCGCATTTTGGGAGTCTTTTTGCACTGTACTCCTCGGGGAGGGTGTTTTGGGGGTGCCGGGGTTGGTGTTTTGGGGGTGCCGGGGTCCCCAGGGGGGGCCGTGTCCCGCAGGGGGTGCAATGGGAAGCCTTGCTCCTGTCAGCTTTCCCCATGGGGGGTTGTGGTGGCCAAGTTGGCATCTCCTCCTCTGGGGGGGTGCAGGGTGATGGGCTGGGGGACCAGGGGGTTCACCCACCCCGGGGATGGCGAGCTCTTGGGTGGATGGGGCGAGGCGATTTGCACACACACACACAGAGGTGGGGGTCACAGAGGACTAACCATCATCCATGTGGTCCGGGAGCTTCTCCTGATAAACCCTCTGCGGATCCTGCACACGCCTGATGGCCTGCATGGGGAGGAGAGAGAGAGGCAGAGTGGGGGGGGGGTGTGGCGGGGG